CTGTTAATTGGGTTGACTAGCTTTTCCAAATAGTCAAATATATGCCAAGAACATGAAATCGAAATTGTTTTAGCAAAGATAGCAAACCAGAAATTGAATCCACTAGAAACCGATTATAAAGATGCTTAAATAAAACTTTATTGAATAAAAAACTATGAAACAAAGTTGAATAAACTGAAATTTAAAAGAGTAGAAAATTAAAGAACAAAGAAAGCTTTTAAAGAAATCGAGAACGAGAAATTTAAATAATGCTAAAGTTGTTAAGGTTAGTCTGTCACCCCAACCACTTACACCCTTTTCTAAGACTTAAATAAAGTATTTATAGACAAAGAAAATCAAGAAGTGTTCGACCAACTTGGACTCCAATTAGCAACTCATTTGTTTCGATTCAATAAACTTCTTCAATCAAATAATGCTTCTTGAAGTTTAATGAAAGTAAAACTCTTCAAAAAAAGCTATTCTATATCAATTATTGTTTTCTAGATCATAAAAATCTTCCTTTCTTAACATGTATCGACTTCTAGAATGGATAAAAGAAAGCAAAAACTAAATGTTGCAAAACCAGAGTGTAGGTTCGGCTTAAAGTGTATTAACCTTCAAGAAAGACTTCAACTTTGCATAATCTTAAACTTCTTTTGATTCCCACGACATGCCCTTCATTCTTGAAGAAAATTTAAAGTTTTCCTTCAATAAGAATTCTTGCTTTGCCTCACTATGAATACTCATTTTATAACTCATTCAAATTCTACTCTAAATAGAAATAGGAATACAATCTTACTAAGAATAGGAAATCCAAATCCAAATAGGAAAAATCAAGGGTTACTTAGTCTATTCCCATATAAACATAATTGCCACCTCATCATGCCACATAACATCCAAATCATTTTTCTTAACCAATAAGAAAACTTGTTACCATGTCATCCATTAGTAATCCTATGCATGTGCTCCTACACAATGCATTCACTTGAAATTACAATTCTACTATTCTTTATGACCAAACATGCCTAGCTTGATTCTTGCATAAATTTTCTCTATTTTTCATCAAGATTAACTTCTTAAATTCGACAAAATTAATCTTGAACATTTTTTCACTTCAAGATTTTCAAGCAATTCAAGAATAACCAAGAACTTATCAAGAACGTTGCAAGATTCATTCTAATGCATTAAGAATCATCCAAGATTGATAAAAAATTATCAAGATTTTGCAAGATTCACTCTTTCATTCAAAATTTCCTACAAAATAGAAAATTAAGCTCATTAGAAGTAAAAATATCAGTTTTTAGCTAAGAGCCAAGAAAAAATTAATCATTTAAACACTGTAAATAACTATATTCTATAGAGTCATCAGCTTAGCTTTGAATGGTTACATTATTGGCTTGCATCAATTGGGTCAAAATATCTTTAAAACTTGTTTTTCTTTTCTTGGGGCAGGTTTGGATGGAAATTGGTGTTTTGGTTAGTGGCTTGGTGGTTGGGTTGGTTCCAAGAAAATTTAGAGTGGTTTCTCCAACCTGGGTTATAAGTATTGCTATTTGGGTTGTAAGCAGGCTTGGACTATTGGGCATATTGGACTATTTTTTTCATAAATTGACATTTTTCAATAGTATAAGATTTATCACAATTTTCATAAGAGACAAAAGGGTTATGTATAACATGAACAAGAGTGGTTTGGGATGGTTTCTAAGGCTTTAATGTTTTTGGTTAAATTGGCTAGTTTTGAATTAATGAAAGTAAAAGCATCAAGTTCATACATACCAACAGTTTTCTCATGTACCTTACGTTCCATGCCTCATTAATAGTTGTTGGTCATTATCTCTTCGATTAACTCATGTGTTTCCTCAACAGTCTTACTCATAATTACTCCTTCAATAGCTGAACCAAGAGTAACTCTCATAGATGGTGAGGTCATTGTAAAAGATATGAATTTGTAACCATTGAGAGAGACAATAATGTTAACACTTGCGTAATAGCTCTTTGAATCTCTTCCATGCATCATAAAGATTCTCACCACTAAATTGCATAAAAGTAGTTATTTTGTTCCTTAACTTGATTATCTTGGCAGGTGGAAAGAACTTAGTAAGGAACTTTTGCACCAAATCATTCCAAGTTGTGATCAATCTAGATGGTAAAAAAGACAACCAACTATTTACCTTGTCCTTGAGAGAAAAAAGAAAAAGTTTTTGTCTAATAGCATCATTTGAAACACTATTGTATTTAAAAAGTATCACATAATTCAAGAAAATTAGATAAGTAGAGATTTAGATCATTGCTTAATAACCCTCCAGACTGTACAGAAGTTTAGACCAATTAGATAATAAAAGGCTTTATTTTAAAGTTGTTTGCTTGTATGGTTGGCCTTTTTATGGATGGTTGAAATCCATCAGCATTAGGGACAACATAGTCCCTCAATGTTCAATAACCTTCGTTGTTTGCATTACCATTTGAATTGGTGTAGCTGGTGTTGTTTGATCTATTCTCAAATGCCAATATCAATCTCTTTTCAAACGTCAAATGGAGTTAGATCAACACTTTTAGATCGAGAATATAAACAAAGAAAATATCAAAACAGTTTAAAAAAATAAAATTAAATGTTTAGATTACAAGAAAGTAAAAAATCCCTATTGATATTGAATTGAATACCGCTATAATATTTGGCAACATTGCTAAAAACTTTATTGTTATTTTTTATAATGCCTGTAAGTGCATATATCATAATCAAGTAATTGAGTGAGTGAGTAGAGTATCGTTCTCATAAAGATTGTTGAATTTAATTGTTAGGTGGATTCAAGTACCAAGATTGACAATTACCACAAGCTTATATCTAAACTAATGAAAGATTTGATCTTATTGTAATTGAAAAAAAGAAAAAGAATAATATATGCCAAGATCTCAATATCCAACTGTCACTAGTAATCTTAGATTAAGGTTGAATATAACAAGAATTTGAAATAAAAAAATGCTTTGAGAAAATTGAAAGTTTGGCCGAAAATAAGTATTGCATAAATAAAGATTTGAAACAAGATTCCATTAAATCAAAAGCTTATATGAAAGAAAGATTTTGACCAAAACTTATAAAGTATAAAAGAACTTGAAAAACTGAAAGAATGTAAAAGAGTTTTAAAAAGAAATAGATCTTGAAACTAAAAAAATGCTTGTATTAAAGAAAAAAAATTTAAGAAAACAAGAGTTTTGTAATGGCCAAAATTTGTCACCTTAGCCTAATACAAAAAAACCTTAAAATAAACCTAAAATACTAAAGAAAAAAAAAAGAAAATATGTGTAGAATGGGATATGAGATGTAATGAGAGATGTGTCAAATACAAAAATGAACCTCTTTATTTATATTAATAGGTTCAGCTAATCTTAGATGTTCAAAGCTATAAAGTTACTTTTCATCCAAACTTTTAAGTATAAATCTTGCAAAAGTCTTTTTCAAATATAAGTCTTTCAATGGTGATCAAAGAGTCATTATGCAATTAAAACTCTTTTGGGCCGAATGCATTAAAGAATCCTTTCTTAAATATAAGTCTTCAAATATCAAATACTTGTAGGAGTTTGATTACCACTAAGATTCCTTACATCAAGTGAATTTAAAAAACCTAGTTCAAGTTGGATTCGGCTAAAAATGATTCTTGCATAGTCGAATATTACAAAGATTAAGCTTGTCGTAATCTTGTATGAACTTTTACATGAAATTCAAGTCCCAAGCATATATGCCTAAAGATTAGGAAAACAAACATTAAAGGTACCAAATTCAAACAAATTTTAAATTTTTTGCATAAAAAATTGTAAATCTCTACATATTTTAGTGTTATCAACTTTTTTCTAAAACTTATACGATTTTTCTTATGTTGATATAGTGTCATATTATCATATCATGTTTAAATTTGTCTAAATATGATAAAATCACTTTTTTTCATTTATATAAAAATTAACTTTAATTTAAAGTATACAAACTATAATATTTATTTTTAAAATATTATTTATTTTTACTTTTTATTATTTGTCAAAGTTATAATAAAACTTAATTCAAACTAAATCAATTAATTTATTTAAATTTAATCTAATTTAATTATAAAAATTAACAAATTGAATCTTAAATATCCTGAACTCGAATGATTTGAATTTAAATAATTTGAATTCAAATAATCCGAATACTTAAAATACTAAAAGCAAAATAACTTGAATCTGAAATTATCCTAAATAAAAAATACTCAAACTTAAATAATCCAAACTCAAATAATTTGAATTCAAATAACTTAAAATCAAAATGATCAAATTCAAGATTAATTTAATTTTTTAAGATAAAAAACAACTCAAATTAAATTGATTTGACCCAAGTTTAATCTAACGCACGTAATTAACATGTCTATAAAATGATATATCATCAAAAGTCAAAGTCATAAGCCTAATTCTAACCCATTCAACCAAGACACGCGGCAAATAGAAAAAAACCTGGATACATCTTCTCCAGAATCTTCTTGCAACTTCCAGATCCACCTTCTCCTTCTGGAACCCTGGATCCAGAAGTCCCCAAGTACCCGTATAATATCCATGGCCAATGCTTCATTGTTTCATCAATCTGGAAAATACAAAAACATCTCAAATTTACTTTGTCAGAAGAAAGCTGTCAAGAAGTTCTCTGTCGATATCATCAAAAGGCGACTAATGACTTTCCTCTTTTCGGAAATCCCTGGAATGCCTCGTCTCGCCCTTGTTACGAGCAAAGCCTGAGAGGGATACCGGTCCAGCTCAAACCCAAAGCCATGCCGCCTCAGCCTTTGAATCCCAAGGTGGTGTCGATCCCCGTCCGCTTTCGTCGGTTCGGAGCGGGGCACATCACGATCAGTTATCAAATCCAGAAGGTGTTTAGGGGATTCCTAGTGAGGAAAAAAAACATGAAGAGATCAAGCAATAAGGAGGAAGTGAATGACATCGAAGCTAAGTGTTTCGATATAAAGAAAAATGTCGATTTGAAGTCGAAATGATATCAAAGAGAGATGAAAGTGAACGAGATGCTGATGGCTTTGCTTCTTAAGTTGGGATTCAGTTAGAGGATGGATTTGGGTTAGGGATTGAGGAAAATCTGTCATTAAAAAGGCTATTGCGTTACAGAATGGTTGACGCCGTTGTTTCCGCGAGACCAATCAATAGATTCCAACGATGCTGATAGCAATTGATGACAAAGTCAAGTAGTTACTGATTCTGCTGATAATTGCAATCAAACGTTAGAGTCGCAAAATCATTATGAAATAACCAACGATACTGAAGCAATTGATCAAAGTCAAGGTATTACCGATTCTGCTGATAATTGCAATCAAACGTTAGAGTCGCAAAATCATGATGAAATAACCAACGATGCTGAATTTGTGCCTAATTTGAATGAATCAAAAGCGATTCTGCAAAAGCAGGAAACTGTTGAATCAAATAAACAAGTTGTTGCAAATCAGGAGGATGAGGAGAGTATGGAGAGCAAGAGTCAAGTCGATTCTGCGAATCTTGAGAATTTAGTTGAAGAAGAGGAAGCGGCGCTGGATGCTGATGATGAGAAGGAAGGGAATAAAAATAACAAGGAAGATTGTGGGGAGAATAAAAGGAGTAAGGAGTTGTTAGGGAGGATGATGGAGGATAATGAGAAAATAATGGGATTGATGACTGTGTTGCTTGAGAGGAACGAAATGCACAATAGGTTGTTGAGTGCATTGTCTCGAAGGGTGGAGCGGCTGGAGAAGGTATTTTTGTGTGACAAGTTGAGGAGAAAGAAGAGGAGAAGTGTTGTTGGCTCTGATGATTGTGTTGAGAAACGCCGGATGTCGAAAAATGTGGAATAGTTGGACTTATTGTTTTGGTTTTTGATATTTGATTTTTATTTATGTGTGGATTATGTTTTGTCGTGTAAGTTTGAAGCAAAATTGCAAATGAATGAATGTATACATCTTTTGAAGCAAGTTCAATTGCCCATACAAGGATTGTCTGATGTTCTTAATGCTTAATTCTCTTCTTGAAACAATTTCTTCTCCTAAAGAGGTAAAGTAGATACATACTTCATTTGGACTCATCAGTTGAGATCTGATTGTTTGTCCCAAAATTATATTATAACGCAGTAGTAAAAGGTAGTTTAAGATCACAATCCTAACAACACAATATAGATTTAAGGTTTCTGGAAAAAAAACTTTTTTGTTTTTTGATGGTGGTCGTCAACTAAAACGTTGGTAATTGTTTATTTCCTTTGAGGTGTTTTATAAGCTGATAAGGTCACATTATTCTGGAGTTCATTTGTAATTAAATCCTGTTCCATTAGCCGGATGGTTGAGAAATGGATTAGAGGGAAGATTTGCTTCTATCTCGGCTGTCATTTCTGGGTTAAGTTTCTCTGCCACCTGAAACATAAAACCATATAAAACTTGTCAAACCCAGTATGATTTTATCATTTAAATTGTTGTGTTGTGGTGTTGTCAATCGGCATTTCTTTTGTCTCAAACTCTTTGCAGAAGTTTGTTTAGTTCCATAGGTTTCACGTTTTGCATCTGTTCATTTCCTTTTTATGTTTTTAGTTTATGTGTCTGGGAATGTAATTTTTAACAGAAAGTTTGTGTTCAGTTGGTAGCTATTAGTATGATCATACTAATCCCGTTCATTAAAAGAAAACTTTACTATATTTGATATTTGCAGATATTAATGTAAAATCCTGTAGCTGTAGGTATACTAACTCTTATTCGTCTTGTGTTTTGTACGATAAAATCTCAATTTATGTCAAGACAAGAACCTTGCATTGCATCCTTTTCACTGCACCACAACTTTTCGTTGACATAGGACTCAACTCAAGAAGCAAGTGCTTTTCATTTCCTTATCTGTTTCTCCTCGACTGCAAGTTGTGATTGAGAGTTGAGACCCAAGAGTCAATTCTAGAATTAAAACTAATTTACTTGTGTATATGAATTACATTAATTATCAATCAATTACACTACAATTAGACGAATTACTAGCTTGATTTGATGATTTTTTTTTTCTTTTAAAACAAGTTTGACATAAAGAAACTGGTAAGCTTCGCAAAAAATTCATAGCATATAGATAGAGTTCGCTTCTGTCAGTTGTTTATATCTTGATTGAGCATCTTATTTGCGGGGAATTATTCAACACAAAAGCTCCATTAGTTTAACTGAAAACGACTTCTTCAAAGCAATTTCTGAAAAGTACTTTTTTTTTTTTTTGGAAAAATTTGATATTTTCTGTTATTGGGATGATTTTGTAAAAAATATTTAATGGTGTTTGGATGCTTTTATGAAAATCAGTATTTACATCAAAATAATATTTTTACATTTATCCATAATCATAATAATAAATTTCATAAATATAAAAATAACAATTAATAATTAAAAATACAACCAATAAAATCATTATAACAAGATCATACAAACTTAAAATATAATAAAAATAGTTTATATTTTTTTTACACAAAAAATAGTCTTATAAAAGTTACAAATTACTTCCATAATAATATAAATTATAAGATTTTATCTAAATAAAATAGTTTTTAAGTGTATAAAATAGTTAATATTATTCTTAAACATAATAAACTTACAATAACCATAATTAGCCTACCAATGAAGTGGTTTTCATTGAAATATTATTAACATAATTATTAAAATATTAAAATTATTTATTTTATTAAATAATCTTTAATATTAAATTAATAAATTATTATTTATATTAATATTTTAAAATATTTAAAGTAGCATTATTTTTCTTGAAATATTATTTCTATTAACATACTAATATTTTAAATTTATTATTATTATCTAAACATTAAAAATATTTACTATTAAAATACTTATATTTTATATTGAAAATATTTATTATTAAATTATAACAAATGTTTTATTTATTTATATTTATTATTGAAATAGTAATATAAATACATTTGTCAATAAAATATAAAAATAATATATTTTCAATTAAAAATATTAAAGATAGTCATATTATTAAAATAATATTATTAAATTAAACTATTAATTATTAAAATAATTAAAAATTATTTACTATATAAATATTTATTATTTATTATTAAATTATAATAAAATAATATTTATTATTGAAAAATAAAATATTTATGTTTAATAATATTCAAAATGCAAATATTTAGAATTAAAATATTAAAAATTATTTTTATTAAATAATATTATTTCAAATCAGGTCAAATTAAATATGAATTTAAACAATCATATTCGAAAATCGGCTTGATTAAAAATATGAAAATATTAAAAATTAATATAAAAATATTAAAAATTAAAATATTGTATGACTTTTAATATTAATTTTTTAATTAAAATTAGATAAAATATTTTTTATTAATAAAATAATGATTTGTGTCAAATCAAATTAAGCCCAAACTTTAAAAAAATGTTTAAGATCCTATTTTAGTTGAATTATATTCACGAGCTTTGTAAATAATTACACTCGTAGATAGTTTTTTTTTTTTTAAAAAATTTTTTTAAGAAAAGAAAAGTCAATTTAAAAAAAAAATGTCATTTTCTATTTATTAGTAAGTTATTTTTTATTAACCAATCAAAATTTTATCATATAAATATAAAAAATACAAAAATTATTTCCTAAAAATCGTAATCTACTGAACAATCAGATCCAAAATTTTGGTAAGCTTCCCTCGGGACCTAGCCAAATTGTAACGCTGGGCTTAGGTGGAAAGTAGTTGTTTCATTCCTGATCAGTTGATTTTTATTTTTTTTTCTTTCCATTAATGTTTGGATCCCGGTTGTTGTAGTTACTGTAGAGTGAAATTGGTGCTGTAAATATGAAATTAAAATTATTGCTAAAATATGCATTTGAATATTAAAAATGGTTACCAATGAAAATGAAAATTTATCATTTTGGATGCTAAATCAAAGTTGGTATATTATATAATTTATAATATATTTAATTTGTACAAAATTATTGGACTAAAAGATCATATCAAAATAATAATTTAAAAAAGCTATTAATAGTAATATATATACAAATATTTAAAGTGAATAACATAATATTTATTTATTTTTTGGTAAGAAAAATTCAGAGGTAGATAGGTTGTTTAATCTTTCAGTTCAAGGTAAAATGTGTTGTACCTGACAGCCTAAGACAAATAGTTGTAGGTCGTGTATTCAAGATAATCCTAATAAATGATCACCGACAAAATTCAAACCCAAGAGCTCTTCGTTGAAAAAAACGAACTTTAACTGATTGAGCCAATCAAAATATAATACTTATTTATTTCATATAGCGTTATTATTTTATCCATTGTCATCTAAGTACGATTGCACACAAATCAAATATGAAAAAATTAATATATATTTATAGTATGTTCATTTATTTTTAAAGATGTTCGGACTAAGTTCGTTTTTTATAAGAAAATTATTCTATTCATTTTAGTTCGAATTATTTAAATGATAAGATGTTTGCGTTCGATTCGTATTTGGGTTTGATTAAATTAAACAAATTTGTTTTGTGAACATTAAATGAGTATATTCACAAATATATATAAACAAACATGTTAATAAACGATAAATGAATTATAACAAAATAAATTTAAACAAATAAATCCTAAACGAATATAAACGAACCTTAAAATAAAATTAGAATAAAAAATAAAAATGTAATTTTGTTATTATTATAAACAATCAATAAATTAATGAATTTTAAACGAACGTTAAACAAATTTATTTGTGAATATAAACAAACTAATTAAATCTCTATTCGTGTGCGGTTTGTTTAATAAATGAATATAAAAATATTATTTTAGATTATTTATTAAGTATAATAAACGAATAAAAACTTAACATGTTCATAAATAATTCATCAAAAGTTATATTTGTTTACGCCAATATATCTGAGTTCAAAAGCAGATCTATTTATATACCATCTTTCCTTTTATTTTTTAATTTTATTTTTACTTTTACTAACTGTAAATGGGTTCTTTGTTAAGATAAAGAAGCGTTGCAAATAAGTAAAATAGAATATGCACAGAGGCGATTAAGAGGAAGATTGAAGTAGACTCTAAAGTATTGAGTGTAGAAGCAGGTGATGGTGGATAGTGAAGTAAAGTTGAATAGAGAAGAGAATAAGACTGAAAGAAGGATTTAGGAAAAAAAGATTGTAGAGAGAAAGCTTGAAAGAAAGTTATGAAAAATTTACCAAAGTCCAAAAGTTCCTAATGAATTATGAAAACTCTTATTTATAGATTTCAAGAATATTAGTTACATATCTTGAGTAATGAATAGGAATAATGGTGAATAATGAGAGAATTGACCATTACAGAATATGTTAATATATTGGTTAATGAAAGTTTAATTAGTTTTTGGTGATAGATATAGTGAATATAGAAGTTCATTATTTATTCTAAAAGAAAAGCACTCATATTTTAAGAAAAGGTTAAGAGAAACAACTTAACTATCTCCATATTTGATCTATCAAATCAAACTCTTTGGAATATCCTAAGAGTGGAATTAATCCAAGAACCCTACTATATTTTGAGATTATTTTCACTTCTTCTTTTAGTGAAGTAGTATTCGATGAAGCATTTTTATGTAAAACTCTTGAAGCTTATTTTTATAAAGCAAAAGTTTCTGAAAAAGATTATTCAAGATTTTATAATATGTGAATGAGAAACATAAATTATATGATGTGTATTTTCTATGAAGATTGTCATGCTCATATAATAGTTATGTTTTAATATATTTTATAAAAAAAGTTTTATTCAATTCAGAAAAATTGTTCTCATAGAACAATTTTATTGAAATAGTCTTATTACTTGTTTGTAAAATAATTTAGATTGAAACAATTT